TAAGCTCAGGGGAATGCACATAAATGAAAGTGGCTCCAGAAGTCTGGGTAGTGATCACAAACGTATCAAGCTAAGTTTTTGGAGAGCAGCGAAAGTGGAAAAGAGACAAGATGTGCAACTACAGGTAAATTTTCATTCAGAAAGGCAAATAGAAATAGCTAATAAACAAATTGAGAAAGTAATCACTGAGGATATTAAAACAGTGTTGACATACACGAATCTAATTAGACTGTTTGAGCTAACCTTGTTACGGCACGTGACAAATCCCCTCGGAAAAGAAGACACAAACCCAAGAGTTGGTGGGATTAGGAAATTAATAGAGCCATTGCAAAACGTCAGGAAGCCTCTAGGGAACATAGACATGCTAAGAAGCGGGGTGAACCGACAGATGATTTTTAAAAAAAGGGAAATCTTTCTAAGCTGTAGAAGAGATGCATCTCTTCTGATCAATGAAAAGATTAGAAGAAAGGGAGCTCAGTGGCTGGAAGAAGTACATAAAAATCTAGAAAGGCAGCTGCGAAATTTTGGAACCTTCTAAACTCCCTAAGAAATGAGACGAGCAAAAAGCAGGGTCTATAACTACAGCTCAAGGTGCTAGGCCAGGAGGGGACAAAGCTAGTGAATATATAAAAACAAGGGTGACAGAAAATTTTCACCAAAGAAGTGCTTTATTCACCACAATAGACAAGGATGAATCAAGTGGCGGAATGGCTTCATTTTCACAACGACAGTGGGAAAGGGCTGAAAAGAGGGTTCCTAGCAGTACATCAACAGGCCCAGATGGCATTCCAATGATGCTGATAAAGACATTAGGTCCGAAGCCTAACCGGCTTTGAGAGAGGCAATGGGCAAAATAATAATCGATGGTGAAGTCCCCGATGGATGGAAACTTAGTAGGATGAGCTTGATCTATAAAGGAAAGGGGGACAAAGCTGACATAAACAAATACCATCCTACTACAGTGACATCAGTGGCCTCTAGGCTGGCGATGGAGATTATAAAGGAAAGACTGCAGGCATGGATAGAAGATGAGTGGGGTGGGAGAACTGCAGAATGGGTTTGGGAAACACAGGAGGTTGGAAGACAATCTGTTCTCACGGACGCAGTGCATCGAATTAGCAAGAAATGAACACAAACCCCTGTGGCTAGCATTTTCGGATATCAAGGGAGCATACAATATCGTGGTTCAAGAGTACTTGTGGGGAAAGCTGGACACACTAGGTGTGGAAGATGGAGTCACTAATCTTTTAAAGGATATCTATAAAGGTAACAAGGCAGTTATAAAGTGGGAAAAACAGGTATGCAAGCCTAAAGAATTAAAACGAGGGCTTAGGTAGGGGTGTTCTCTGTCACCCCTTTATTCATGATGTACCTACAAGGATTAGAGGCCAAATTAGAGGGAAGTGGACTGCGCTTCAACCTCTCTTTCGTCAAACAAGGAAAACTCATTGAACAGGCGCTACCAGCATTGATGTACGCAGATGATATAGTGCTAATGGCCGACAACTAGGAAGATTTGCCAAGATTGATGGACATCTGCGGTAATGAGGGAGATAGGTTAGATTTCAGATGCAGTAAGGAAAAATCAGCAGTCATGATGTTTTTGATAACGAAGGTAGTGAGCTTAAAATACATGAGGTCACGCTAGAGATAACAGATAAATACAAACACCTGGGTGTATGGATAAGCAGTGGGGCCGAGTACCTAAGTAACACAAAATATACGTGACGACTAAAGGTAACAGGAATGCAGAAGGTGATAAAAAAGAGAGCACTGTGGAATTGGAATAGATATGAGGTTGTGAGAGGAATATGGAAAGGGGTCATGGTTTCTGGTCTAACGTTCGGCAATGCAGTCTTTTGCAAAAGATCAGAAGTTCAAGAGAGATTAGAAGTTAAGCAACATGGAATAGGTAGGCTTGCTTCAGGAGCTCACGGGAATACACCAAATCAGGAAGTACAAGGTGATATGGGATGGACATCATTTGAGGGCAGGGAAGCTAGCAGCAAGATAAAATTTCAGAAGCGATTAAGAGAAATGGAGGAGGAGCGTTGGGCTAGGAAGGTATTCAGCTACTTGTACATGAAGAATGTCAATACAAAATGGAGGAAGCGAATCAGAAAATTTACTGGTAAATACTTAGGAAACAGCAGGGGGCCAAACAAAAAAGAATTATCGGTTAAGAAGAAGGTTAAGGAAGCTGAGGCCGATATGTGGAGAATCGGCATGATTAAGAAGTCCGCACTAGAGATCTATTGAACTTTTAAGCAGGAAATTGCCAAGGAAAGGATCTATGATAATACTCGGGAAATTTATTTACCGTTTGAAGCCAGGACGGGAGTCTTGCGAACCAAGACATATCGGGCCAAATACGAAGGGGTAGACAGTGTATGCAGTGCGTGTGGAGAGGAAGAGGAAACTGCCTAACACTTGATAATTTTCTGTAAAGGGCTTCACCCTATAGTTGCGGGCGATGGCACAGGGTTTCTCAAAGCACTGGGTTTAAGGACAGGGAGGGCAAAATAGACTTTAAGCGGGTAGAATTAACTGGAAGGAGGTTATCTGACAGGTGGTCAAAGTCAAGGGACGAGTGAAAATTAAACCATTCACTGCAAAGTATGAGTCCTCAACTTCACTATGTAAAGGGAAAAAATATAAATCTAGTTCTTGGTTCACTACGTATTACGGCTTGGCGGCGTTAGTCACCACCCGATCTCCACATCCATCCATCCATCCATCCATCCATCCATCCATCCATCCATCCATCTATCCATTCATCCATCCATCCATCCATCCATCCATCCATCCATCCATCCATCCATCCATCCATCCATCCATCCATCCATCCATCCATCCATCCATCCATCCATCCATCCATCCATCCATCCATCCATTCATCCATTGTATTTATCCACCTCTCCTTTTGTTCTTGCAATGTTCACTAGATGGCGGTATTTGTACTTGATGATGAAAAGATGCGAATTGTTATAAACTAGATTGTGGTACTTGTAGTTTATGATGAAAGATGCGAGATGTTATAAAATAGGAATTTCGTCACATAATGCGCGTGTCATTGGTGGAAGGCAATTCTTCAATTTAGTGCGGCGACGTACGCTAGGAGAAGCGTTGTATTAAGATCGAGTGGGCAAAATGTACGGAGGATTCATGGTTTACCATGTTTACCTCATCATCGACATTCACTTCGTGGATATGGCGGCACTTTTTGTATTGTTCGTTGCGTATTGTAATATCTTTATCTTAGCGCCTCGTGTGTGAAGTTTATCAGAAATAAAAAAAATAACCGGCGTAGCTCAGTGGTAGACTATTTGGCTGGCACCCAGCGGACCCGGGTGTGAGCCTCGCTGCGTCATTGGTGCTAGTTTTTTTTTCTAATTTCGCGCGATGTGGTTATGGACACCCGCGGTGGTGGCAGCGGCGGACAACTGCGCATAACCAGAGTTGTGATCTCATAACAGCTTTCACCTTAAAACGAGCTTTAGGCATGCAGTATGGCATTGTCTGTTTGGTGTACGACTGCGGTGCTATAGTTTATTGAATAGGCGATGAGCTTTAGTTGTGCTTCGACTGTTATGGTCCCGATACAAATAAATGTTTGTGTCACGTGATTTTTTTTGAAACTTTGGCACTTAGACTATTCCTTCTCCCCCCACCTGAAAAAATATTTAGTAAATGAAATAACACGACCGCGATAAAACAGATTTGCCATGTGCACGTTTAATTTGGGACGAAATTTACGGTGAAACATCAATGTGTATGGATTTAGCGGTGCTTCAAAGAACTCAGAGGGTCAAAATTATTCCAGATGCTCTTTCTCAAACTCATGTCGTTGAATTTCAAGCAAAATCTCTGGAGCGTTTGAGTGGCATTGTTATAGAATAACAGAATGCCAAAATCATAATTCGCTTAAAAATGAAACCTACTAGAGTTATAGAATAAACCGACATTGTTACAGCTCTGTCATGTACGTATTCAATTTTTGATAAGTGAGAACTCAACTGTTACTCTTTTATACCGTCGCTAGAGCAAGAGCAAGTGCATGCATATTAAACATCTCCGTGGCGATAAAGTACTGTTGGCCATGTAGCTTCCCTGCCTAAATTTATCAAATGTACATTTCATGGAGATATCAATAAAAAAGCTTACGCGTATTCATGCGCACAGTTCTATGAACCTCATCCCGCAATGATGCGGACATTCTTTTTTTTTCGCACTCGCTTTATGTAAATAAGAAAGCTATAAGTAATGAGACGACAAAGCGAGAAGTATAGCGCCCCATGCAAAAGTGTTCGTAGCTACCAGCGATTGGATCTTTGATTGCGACGCCAAATCACGACGATAGTTATAGCGCGAGAACAAAACGACGACACAGTAACAAGAAGGACACGAAAGACACGTGTCTTTCGTGTCCTTTTTGTCTCTGTAATGTCGTTTTCTTCTCGCGCTACAACTATCGTGTCCTTCTTGTCTCTGTGTCGTCATTTTGTTCTCGCGCTATAACTATCGTCATGCCATACCAACTAGCCCAAGCTGCCACACGCCAAAGCACGGCCGTTGCCCCGCCGTAGTGGTCTAGTGGCTAAGGTACTCGGATGCTGACCCGCAGGTCGCGGGTTCAAATCCCGTCTGCGGCGGCTGCATTTCCGATGGAGGCGGAAATGTTGTAGGCCCGTGTGCTCAGATTTGGGTGCACGTTAAAGAACCCCAGGTGGTCAAAATTTCCGGAGCCCTCCACTACGGCGTCTCTCATAATCATATGGTGGTTTTGGGACGTTACTCCCCACATATCAATCAATCAAAGCACGGCCGTTACCTTTAAAGCATTGGAAGAACAATATAACGATTTATCGAATTTGCTTTTATTCTGCGTTCACCATTACCATTGTATATTAGTATTTAACCCCTCAATTTCGTTTCTGAAAATACTGCCAGCTGAATGAACTTCACTGAGCTGAGAAATGTTTTCACTACGTTACCCTTACCCTGGTCCTGGCGGTGACTACAGCGACAACGATGACAACTGCAACAAAGAAAAGAAATGACGGCTTTTAACAAGTGGAATTCAAATGAATCAAAGGTCTTTTTAATCAAATATTTGCGCTGGTATATGTTATCTCCATGGTGCAGTTTCGAAAAACGCAGTATCATGTGATGTGACCTCACGCATCATCTCGTCATCATCATCATCAGCAGCAGCACCAGCAGCAGCAGCAGCAGCAGTCATGCAATTACGTTTACACGAAAACACACACTGTACAAAAAATCGGAATTCCCTGTTAGACATGGTCAGATATGTATGTACACGACGATTCAGCCCACGACGACCTTACAAGATTGGCTCCATGACACAGCCGCAAAGCAGCCATTGCGGAAAGCACGAGCTGACGAAGCGAGCTAAACAGCCTTGTCGCGTGCTTTTCACGTGCTGGCCATGCTCGTGGTCATGAGCTGAAGGAAAATCTGAGAACCCGCTCTTCGCAAAAACTTCCTGGCTACAAGAACATAAAGCCTTGTTGTAACATGAGACTTCTCGGGTCGTACTTACCGAGTTCAATAGTGAATCTCATGGTGTGCTTGCACTGAAAAAGAGAGCAGAGAAATACTTTACACTCACGAATACTGCAGTGCCTTTTCGGGAATTATTTCTTTAGTTTTGAAGGAACAAAGTAAACTTCATGGTCAATTACTGCACTTCTTCACCGAAAAGCAAAAAAAAAAGGCTGCCTGAGACGTCTGATTAGTTTTTATTCGGGCAGTGAGTTCCTCCCGTTGTTCTCTCAACAAGAAAACAGCATTTGTTTTCTTGAGTGAACTCACACTCTACCTATTTATTGAGCGCCTATATCGTTCCGCTCGATGGTGATCAATGGTCCTCTGGTGATTCCTTCTTGTCTTCTTGCTGCGAGGTTGAGCTAGTGCACACAGAACAAATGCACGTTTTTTTCTACATATGTCACTTTGGTTTTTAGTCAATGCCTACAATACCTGTCAGTGCCGTGGCCAACATGGAACTCACTCGCGTTCAACTTCACGAATTTCTTGTGCGAAAACAACAGCCATGCGCAGCACATGCCGCGCTGTGAAACAAACCGGGAGCCGTGACACGAGGCGAGCATGTCTGTCACACATATCAAAGTTCAATTTAGTGTCTAAAAACTGCAGGGAGTCTTTATGGGAATTCGGTGCGTGAAAGCTAAACTATTGCCGCATTGTGTAAAGCTAGTTGAAATTATACTCACTGAATCAGTGCGTGTCATAGTTACTAGTTTGGTGATAGCAATGAAAATTTCGTCTACATAAAACTATATTTTGCATCACATCTACTAGCAATATGCTCCAGGAGACCTCAAAGAGTGTCTGCCTTAGTGTCTGAGCATTCAAAGGTATTTAAGAGGGCACTTTCAATATCGTGTATGGAATCGGCTCTTACCAAATCATGCCCACACGCCACGCATGATAGCTTCCACAATCAAATCAATAGGCTGCTTTCAGCAGGCTTGCCCGTCGAAATCGTAACGAATGTGGCTGAAAATCTTCCTAAAAATCTCCGAACAAGTTTTTGTGTGAAAGAGAACCCGAGGAAAGGCTGCAAATACCTTTTTAGCTTTCAGGGCTTTGATCCATCATTGCCTTCAATCTGCTCATCATCAACACTTTCTCTCTCTCCTACCCCTCCTTTTTCTACCCCTCCCCTTTCTAAAAGCTGAGTAGGAGGCCAGAAATTGGATTTAAGGCAACCTCTCAGCATTTCTCCAATAATGAACCTCTCTCTCTCTTTTTCTGTCTTTAAAGTAAAAAAAAAGTTGTGGCAGCAACACGGAGCGACTGCGCAAAAACATTTTCAGAGCTGTGCCATATGTGCACAAAGGCGAGCATAACTTGAAAAAGGTGGCAGCCAAATATGACGTTTACTTTTTTTTTGGCACCAAAAAATCAATCCGGCTAATGCCCAATTGTGTGTGGGAACGGACGACTGAAGAGCGGCTGCGACAAGACGGCGTCAAAAACACTATTCTATATCTGTGCTGTTAGAAAAAGCTCTTGATGACGTCATAAGTGTATACTTTAGTCTCACGCTTCCACTCAGTTAAAAACCCGAGTCCAAAGTATTTGAAACGCGAAGCATTTCTTAGCTAACTTCGGCGACTTTGAGTGTATCATCTAGCCGCTTAGCTTTGAGTGCTCTCGTGGTCACCCCCTTAACTTGGCGTGAACCAAAATCAGCATAGAAGGGTAAGATGGTTTCACGAATATGCATAATGTCATAATCCCGTCGCGTACGTCGTCAAACACATCCCGGTGGTCAGTGGCACAAACCCGCGAGCCGGTATGTGCCACAGGTGATTGACACTTGTATCTACCTAGGCACAACGAAAACACACGTGGGCAATTTTAACGTGTGAGCATTAGGCAATACCCGACATCGGCACCGTCGACCCAACGAAGGCATTGAATAAATGTCAGTGTTAAAAAAACCTGACATAGGCAGCGCTGACCCCCCTACGAAAGCAAATAATTAATTTCAGGGTCCCAGCAGGAATCCAACTCAAGCATTCTGCGTGGCAGTCAAGCTGTCCGATCAGTGGTGTGTCTCTCTCCTTCTTTTCTTGTCCCTCGTTATTGGCGCAGATTTTTATGTGAGTCAAGTTTTCTGCCACATAGCTACGCCAGGTCTCGGAACTACTTTTCAAATAGACGCTAATCTTCGTAAAACACCAATAAAGTTTCACAGTCACCTTCCCTCCGCATGCTTCGCAAAACGTCCATTCGCAAGTACGTGAGATCTGCCGCATTTTTTATGTAGTAAATGCGACCATAATAACTTCTTTGAAGAGTTGGACTTCGTGCCAACTATTCAAGGGGAAGACGGCAGTGCATTATCAAATGGTTTGCCACAACAATTTTGCCACGTGATTTGCAGACGTAGTTCATTTAGGCTTCATCTACCTTATATTGTACACCTGCTTATCCGCCCTATAGTTACAGCGTATGGCGCACGGCAGTGCCAAAAACACCACCCACATGAAAGAAGCCAAGCTACCAACGATAATGATGCTAAATGTTTTAAAGCTAACCAAGCATAACTAAGCTGGCAACTGCTAATCAAATGCAGCATGACAAATGCTAATCTAAACTTGTATGGCACCCGCAACGCCCCCAGCACTTGCAAGCGGTATTCCAAAACTCTCTAACAATAGCCATATTTAAATCCATGGCAGTTCTCTTTCAGGTGATTGAAACCCATCTAGTTAACTTCAATGGGCTGCAAGTTACTCGGACACATAATATAAATACATGTCACAAAGTAGCTGAATGATATGTATTGTAGCAAAAGGGCTAGTCGATAACGTTCATTCTAAATGCAAAAAGTGGGGTACACTGCATGCGCCAAAGGAACAAGAGGGCACTGCGCCTGTGTTGGTCTATTCTTTCGTTTCTGTTTCGTACTGCACTCCAGTTAATTCATTTAGAATGAATCTAAACGGGAAATTTACATCTCGAAAACTAGCGCAGATTTTTAAAAACCTGTCCTGCCAAAATGAATTCCTCGAATCGGTGACCGTTGTTGACCGCAAAAGTTTCGAAAGTTGGGGTAGTTCAAGGCTCGCATTCATTGAGCGAACTGGGAGCATTCGTGTCGCGGTGTTCTTCCTTCGTCCACTGAACAACCTTCATCGATCACTGCGCTCATCAGTGTACGTCACCGCAATCTTGTCGACTTTTCTAAAGCATTGAGCACATCTTTTTTAAAGGTTTAAAAAATACGCAAATGTCAAGGATGGAAGTGGTTTGAACAGTTTCTAACAAACCACAAACAGTTTGCCAAACACAACGCGCGTTATATCATTGAATAAGTAAAGAGTGAATTTTCTAAACAATTCGTGAACGAGTTTGTGTAAATTATACGTGCCATTGCCATTTAGGTGGCAGCATATTATTACTATGTTGGCATAACGCTCGCCCGCAAAATGAGCCTAAAAGCCATATACCATGTTATAAAAAACTGTGTTTTTTTAATTATCACCTAAGCACTTTTTACCATTGTTATGTAGTGAAAGCTGAAACGTGCGGCGTTGGTGCTTAGCAGAGGGTACAACAAGACGTGGCACTGCAGCCTTTCACAATTATTTTTTATTTACGTATTTTTTATTTATTTAATACTGTAAACCTTTCTCAGGCTCATACAGGGTGCTCATTATTGGGTGCATGTTCGTGCTTCTTATTGAGGTATAGACACACGATTGGCTTGGGTTTACCACAGTGTTTATTTCATACTCCGAACATTGTGCCTCGCTTGATTATGGTCATAGAGAAGTGTAAGCAGCAGTTAAATGCATTTCGCAATGCGTTAATCGCACTGGTTGTTATCGAGCCACCGGTAGTCTCAGGCGTCTCAGCCGGAGCCGGAGTGCCACTGGAGTAACTACCGTCGAAATAAGACGTTTGCGCTTACGAACGCACTCCCGCAGTCATGACAATGGCGCCGCAACGCCACTTGTTCTGCGTAGGCACTGCTACGTGTCGCATATAGGCAGAAATCAACTGCCTTTTAACACGAAACTGTTTCATGCCGGTGTCTCCTCGGCTCTGCTGACGTACTTTCGTCACGAATGTAGCGTTAAAAAGCGTACGTGACTGCAAATAAGGAAAACCAGAAGGCAAGCATTTGCCCGCAGAATCGAACGAGCAACCTCTCGGTTGTCAGTTCGCGGCGCTATCTACTACGCCATACAGCGTACGTTGTATTGAATGCTAACGAAGAGTCATTTATATACACCCTACACAGTTTGCCCGTCCTTAGAGCTTTGAAACTTTAATGCATTTTTTTATTATGAGTAGCGAGATGGCGTGACGGGCTCACGTTGGGCGCACTCTAAAGTTCGTCGCCTCCACGAAGCGTTGCCTTCACGGAGCGTTGTGTCTCCTGCACGCACGCTTATCAGAAACGTAACTCGGAAGAGGACGAAGTTCACTTCGCTCGTAGTTGCGGCCCTCTTAAAGGGCACATGACGGAGGGAGAACTGTGACAAATCTTCGCGCTGATCTTGTGTATAATTGAGCGCTCATTTCATGCACCTTTCTTTCTGCTTAAACAGCGCGCTTTAAGTGTCGTGGTGTGACAGTTGTTAGTCCGCGCTCGTCCTGTGTATGCTCATTTCATGCACGTTCTCTGCTTGAGGTGTACGCTGCAAGTTTCAAGGTGCTTGCTGTTAATAATGTGATTTAGAAATTTATTTCTGCTGCTGCAACAATGCACAATAAACGCTGAACTACCTTGTAAGGACATCTTCACTTTCGGGTTTTACTGATTATTATGTAGAGAAATCCGACACGTTTTTTTTTTTCATTCTCCGAAAACCACGCATTATTTGCTCGGTGCGACGCTGTCGCAAACGTTTGGTAACGCGAGCTAAGTCGGTGGCGTTGTTTGCGGGAATTGCCTGCCACTGGGGCTTGCATTTTTGTTCCATCAGTACGCAGTTAATGCCGGCACTGGGCTTCTCGGGCCTGCTCTTCTGCTCGGACTGCACCATCAGCTCAGTGAATGCGAGCTCTCTCACATTTCCAGGGTCGGCGC